ACTTTCGCATTCCATTTTTTGAGGTCCCTCAGTTTAGCCAAATGTGTTGGGGCTCCGGCGGCCCAAATCTCAACACTCACAATTTTGACTGGAAGACCACCGGTAATTCGGACAGTTAGAAAATTTTCGTCAATTTCGAGCACAGGTGATTCCAAAGGACGATGCCCAGCCAGAAAACCCCTCTTTGAAGTCCTTGTATTAAAATTGACGTAAAATATTTTGCCTCCTGCTAAAATTAGCGACAAATATAAGGAGCATAAAATTATATCCAATATTAAGAATAGAACAGTACAATGGGCGTTTATAATTATAACAAATTATAATCCAACAAATAGAAAAAAAAGACTTAAATTAAATTCAATGTAAGAAAATCTCCAAATACTAGTAGCTTACAGATCAGCTTCGAGAACCTGGGTTCTAGCTGTAGCACTTTAGAGTCCCTGTCTCCATACGGGTTCCAAGAATTCCTTAAGTAATTTCAATTAAAAAGTATCTAACTTTAGGCCTTCGTCGCAGGCAAAACAAAACGAATTATCGCCTGCTTTGAGTAGAAGAAGAAGAGGACCATCATAATCAAATGATGTTTCTACTATTCTATAATAAAACATTGGTAAATGAGGCCAATTATATTGTCCGGAGACTTACCTAGTTAAACTAAGCCCATCAGATGCGCTGTTAAAAAGACATCTGAGATGCGATAGTTGTTCCTAGTATATGGCTAAGTGGGTCATGCTTACTGCTTGTAGTGGGGCGCCGCCTTTCAACGCTGTGTCACCACAGCGTTTAAACGGAGGAGATAAGGAAGCAGAGAGGAGCCAAATTGTATCCGGTTGCATTAATATTCCACCATATTCGCTAAGTAATGTAAAGCTGGTCTAAGTTGAAAAAATGAAAGATAAAAATCATACAGAGATGCACTCGCCGCCGTGTAGCGAATATGAAACAATAGATGCTAGATCATCTGCAATATCCGGTAGGTTTCTCAGCAGCCATGTTATAAGTGCCTCTTTAGAAAAGGATGCGGATTCGCCGTTATCATTTGCCTAAATATTTCCAAAATGACTCACTGAATGATTAACTAAAGAATCAATGACAGCTTTTACTAAGGGGGACGACTTCAAAGTTCCTAGAGTAAACCAAGATAGTAAAGTATTTATTTCTAAAATGAAATAAATAACGAATTACTTCCTAGAGGAATTTCTTCATAGGCAAGAAGTCCCACAAAATATCGCACCTTTTGCCTTTCATATTCAAGATCTTCAACTATCCTTGCATATTCGTGCAAAACTAGTTCTGATCCACTTGCGTAAGAGTCCCAAAGACATTCGGCTAAATCTAATAGGTGAGCGGTAAATAAGGACTGGAGGATAAGCATGCAAAATGTATTACCAGGAAGACTTGTTTTTCCATAGTACATGTGCCATCAGACTAAAAAAGATATTAAAAATTATAATCTACATTTTCATTAAAGCCTTTAAATCTCTTTGCATCTTTCATCCCATCAAAGACATAAGGGGCGACAGGCTTGTCGAGGCTGTTGCCCATTTTCAAATCCGAGGGTTGTCCATTATTTATATAAAATTAATATATTCAAATAAAGTTGCATATAATATAGTTGCTTAAAAAATTTTGTATTGACTGCATTCTAATATTGCGGGAATAAATTAATCATAGTTGTATATATCTAAATTTAAATTCTATCGAAACCAGCTTGTTACCAGGGCTATCATTAATTAATTTGGGCTAATTCCAAATTTACTACTTCCTTCAAAGTTTAACTTCACTGACATGGTCTGGATTCTTAACAAAATAATCCATTTTTGGGTGTGTTTGGCTGTCCGAATCAAATTATGTGATCAAATTTCATCTTATCAACCCCAGGACAACACAGATGATTTTCAGCTAACAGAAGCGTGAAGCACACTTTTAAAGTGATACAGTGATTAAGAATAACTGTAAAAACGCTTATAAACCAGCTGCTTATCAAGATTGGTAAAAAAGTCACTGATGAATCCTCCGTGCCAAACATCGAATAAGTGATAATGTTTCTCAATATTAATGACAATACATAAATTAGTCTTTACATTCAAGATCAGTCCTTAAGCTTCCTCAGGCAATGAGAAGTGGCACATTTTTAGTCAACATTTACACTCACAAAACTCCACAAAAGCTGAAATTATTATATTTTGATTACTTAGTGATATCCGTTTTTAATAAACAAGACAACTTTGGAGGCCTGACAGTCATGGAGTAGGCAAACGGATAAGCTATCCGTCACAAAGATTTAAGCATGTAGATCAGAGCTTGGGCGCTCTGCTCAGGGAAGCGGCAGTGTACATACTTCTAGGGCCATAAGTGTGATGAGGCCACACTAGATTTGCCATAAAAGGGCACATATTTTGACGAGTGGAATGTAAACAAGTCAGAAGTTGTGATAGGGCGGCAATGGGAGGAGAGGATAAAGAGTAGATAGATAGGCCAGGACAGAAAAAGGAGTGATATTGTAGCCGTTTTCGGTAGAAGGTTTGTCGAGTGATTGACCTCACTTGTCTTTTTGACGAGTTGGTAGCTTAATGCGGAGAATGGCAAAGCTCACTGATGATATCAACTACGATGCCGGCGAAACGATTTAGAATGTATCAAGTCCACTGTCTGATGCTAGGAATCATGACAACTATTATGGCAGACGACTTCGGACTATGTGTGTTCTACTAAGCCTCTCTGACAACAAAACCAAGTTGCAACAACGAGGTCAACCCATTTCTATAAATCAAAAAGAGTCTGCGACCATACCAGAGGCAACAACATCTTGGTCTTTATATCTTTAATTAAACTACGCTAGTAAACTTGCCAAACAATGCACTGAATACAGCCGGAAAAAGAAGAAAATTGTAAGTCAATCTTCCCAGCTTACTTTTTCAAATTGTTGTAAACGTTATGCTAATACTCCTAAGTTCTGTGACCTTAAGAAACCCTACCACTCGGATAAGGTTAATGAGTATCCATATCAGGCTTCTATTCAGAAACTAAATGAGATCTATGATACTGAACGTTATAAGTTGTTTAAGCTTATAGATATTAACTCAAAGCTCCGGCGTAATTTGGCCAGGATCCTGTCTCCGGAAGATTTTAAAAAACTCCAGATCATGACCAACAGTAAATCACGTAGGATTTCTGATTTATTAAAAAAACAACATGATAATAAATTGCGTAAGTTTGGGATTATAAGACAGCCTAAGTTAAAGCCAGTACGCCCAGTAGAAGTGGTTTCTGAGATGACAACACCTACTGATCAACATGAGGATCGAAAGGAAGTACTAAACTTATCATCAATTCCTCTCAATCCCAAAACAACCGCGTTCGTGGAAAAATAACTCCATTTTTCAGTTCAACATCACAGAAGCTTTCTAGGATATATCCTGGTAGAGATTATCAATATAGCCGACAAGTTCCCTGAGGAGAAAAAAACGGGAAATGGAGATGGAACTAATTCCAAAGATCTTGACACATCAGAAGCTTACATACAAGAACATATTTTCGGGATACGCAAGACCCTGGAAACGGATGGACAATTAGTCCTTCCGGCAGGCGAAGGAGGAGCTACAGTGTTAATGAACATAAAACAATATACTGAGAAAATGAAACAAATTCTACGAGACAGGACCACATATCGTATACTAAACAAGGACCCAACTATGAATATCAATAGAATATTAAGTGTCATGCTGAAGGATATGCATAGG